CACACACACACACACACACACAAACACAAACACAAACACACACACACACACACACAAACACATACACACACACACTCAAACATAGACACACAAAGTAACCCTTCTCCAACGTTACAGACCACTCCCACAAGTACCAATGGTCGTTAAATAGAATTACAAAAGTAAAACAGTTTCCCTGAGTTTGTCTCAAGAGTATTTCAGACTTTGTCGTGTTGTCAATTATGCTAAAACTCGTGGGATGTTAAAACTCTTGAAGTTTTCTGAATAACTCGCCGCTCTGTGCTCTTACTTTATTTGAGCGGAACCTCGACCTCCATTGATTCATGGTGCAGAGACGACACTGCTTTCTCATTCCTAAGAGAAAAAAACCACAACTACAATCGTTTCAACTCAGGCTGTAATTCTAAAATGAACAAACTGAAACGCCTAATCATATCGCAACCCTACTGCTGCCCCATAAAGTAAAATTTTCGAGGATCAAAGTATAGGAAATCTTTTTCCGTTCCGTGAACATTGACGTGGAAGGGTTTAGGTTATTTCCTTAAGATTAACATAGAAAAATGAAAAACAAAAACAAAACGAAAAAAGTTCGACCTGTAGTGGAAAGGTCAAGATTTTCGTGCAGTCTCAATGGACCGAGGAACCAGAGCTCTTCAACGACAAATCTAACCACTTTTTTCTCTCTCGCAAGTGAAACACATTCTTACTTACATTTTTCCTCTCGATTTAACCAAACAGAACGGAAACAAAACCAAAAAAAAAGAGTAAAACAAAAAAATCACCAGAACGCTTACTTGCTCCCACCTTTGTGAAAAGTGCTCTCAAGTTCAAGAGATTCTTTATATTAAGCACGAATCCCTTCCTCACGGCTTGGCGAGAGAGGGCTAGAAATCAAGTGAAATAGATGTGCTTAGTTGCGATCAGAATGCATAATGCTGGTCAGTGGAATGCAATCCCCCATTTCATTTTGTTCCTTGTTGTGGTTTTCATCGAGGAACAGAGTGTAAAAAATTTCCGTTTCGCGGAGATCTCCATATCACTGCGATTGGGCCTTATCTTTGTACTCTTGGCATCGAATAAATCATGTGGGTGGGTTGGAATATGCTGTGGTGTGGTTTGCTCCTTCTTTCCTATCAAACATCTATCGTCCTGATCTCTCTTCTTTCTTTTTTTGCGTTTGTTCCTATAATAACAAATCTAATCTCCTGCACTTATATGACTTTATGGAGTTGCAAGTGCCGTAAAACTCTTACTAAAACTGGAGAATATATCATTAGAGACGTTTAGCTTTTCAAGTATGTTTTCCTTATTCTGAGGACGATGCTAACATCGCAGTTTTAAGGATTTTTTTTTAAACCCTAAAGATACTGAAACTATTCGAGGAACGTCTAAAACAACGACTGAAACTATCTTTTTAGGGTTTCGTTATCAGAAGTGTTCTTGTATTTTTAAGTGTACGCCCACTGAGAGGTCAAAATGGTTTTCTTCTCGTAACAAAGGGGCCTTGAGCTACCCATTGTACTTAACAATAGTGCCAACCAAAGGCTTTCTAATCTTTGGAAAAGCCCAAACGGTTGCAAGCTGTAACGTGGAGACGTCGAAGAGGTAACAATTTTGTTTTGTTTTGTTTTGTTTGTAGGAAGAGTGAGCGAAAGGGGAGCGGGGGGTTTGTCCCTTCTTCTGTTTTCAGGGACGCGATGAATCGAAACTGTTTCCTGACAAAACACTCCAGTTGTCATGCAGACTCGTAGGAAGCTGGTACTTAACCCAACACAACGCGGCATTACAAGAAAGTACTTTTCAACATGGTCGATCAACAACACTAGAGTTGTAGAGACAAGGAGAACAAACTTGCCCTTGAGTCTTAGCCGCCGTACACTTTGCATCTGTAGAGCACTAGATAAACCTCTTAACTCTTTTCATACTTCCTTCCTCTCTCTCTCTCTCCCTCTCCCCCCTCTCTCTCTCCCTCCCACCCCTCTCTCTCTCTCTCTCTCTCTCTCTCTCTCTCTCTCTCTCTCTCTCTCTCTCTCTTTCCCCACCTACATACATATAATGTACACTTCGCCCAAATACTTTGTTTAAAGTTTCACTTGCCTTTTATTTAATTTTCCTTTGTGCTATTTTTGCCCATCCGCGTTTCTCGTTTTTATCACTTCTAAAAACCAACTTTCGTCAACTGTCCACTGAGAGAAGAGATATTGCTGAATAACATTTCGTTTCGTAGTGGGGTATATAAAGAAGCTTCAGGTTGCTGGTATTCTACTACATTAGGAAATCTCTATTTGGGAGGGAGAAAGTGTTCTGAAAGCTTCCATTTGGAGGAGAGTAGAGTCGTGCATTAGGAAGCCACCATTTCGAAAGTGAGTAGTATGTTGGCCCATTAGGAGGAAGTCACCATTTTGTCGAGAGTGACTGTGTACCCCTATGTAGTCTCTCTCAGTTTCATTGTCAATTGCCAACCTCTTTAAACTCGACTTCTACTCTCTCTCTCTCTCTCTCTCTCTCTCTCTCTCTCTCTCTCTCTCTCTCTCTCTCTCTTTTCTTTTTCCATTT